GCATTTCATGATTATGAAATTTGGCAGATGGATTTTAAAACCGTTTTCCTTAATGGGAAACTATCTGAGGATGTCTACATGAGTCAGCCAGAGGGTTTTGTACATGCCAAGTCTCCTGATAGGGTGGGTAAGATTGAGAAATCCATTTATGGATTAAAATAAGCATCTCGTGGTTGGAATCTTTGCTTCCATGAGAAAGTCAAAGAGTTTGGGTTCCCTAGAAGTGAAGATAAGTCCTGTGTATATGTCAAAGCTAGTGGGAGTATAGTGACTTTCCTAGTCTTGTATGTTAATGACATACTCCTTATAAGAAACGACATTCCAACCTTGCAAGAAGTTAAGTCTTGGCTTGAGAAGTGTTTCACTATGAAGGATCTAGGGAAGCATCTTATATTCTAGGAATAAGGATTCATAGGAATAGAAAGAATCGTCTTATTGGTCTTAACCAAAGTACATATTTGGATAAAATAATGAAGCATTTTAGTATAGAGAATTCAAAGAAAAGGGAATTACCTATTCATAGTACTATGAAGTTGAGTAAGACTCAAAGTCCAAGTACTGATGAAGAGATTGCTGACATGAGTCAAGTCCCATATGCTTCAGCTGTTGGATCGATCATGTATGCAATGACTTGTACTCGCCCTGATATGTATTATGCTTTGACCTTGGTTAGTCGATTTCATGGAAGTCCGGGCAGAGCCCATTGGATTGCGATGAAGAATATTATTAAGTATCTGCGAAGAACGAAAGTCGTGTTCCTAGTTCTTGGCGGCAGTGATACGTTAAGAGTGAGTGGTTACAGTGACGCCGATTTTCAAATAGACGGGGATAACTTTATTCGCAGTCTGGTTGGGTATTCTTACTGAATGGAGGAGAGGTTACTTGGAAAAGTTCCAAGCAAGACACAGTGGCTGATTCCACGTGTGAGTCTGAGTACATTGCAGCGAGTGAAGCATCGAAGGAAGCGGCTTGGTTGAAGAGCTTTATCAGAGATCTTAGAGTCGTTCCAACTATTCAAGAACCCATGGAACTGTTATGTGATAATGAAGGCGCAGTTGCTTTGACAAAAGAACTAATGGATCATGGTAGATCTAATCATATCAACAGAAAGTACCATTACATTCGACATTGGGTAGAAAAAGGACACCTTCTGGTGAAGAGAGTATCATTAAAAGATAATGTTGCAGATCCTTTTACAAAGGCTCTGAGTAGAGTCAAACACTACCAGCATGCTAGGAGCATAGCCCTAAGAGACGATATCAGTTTTAATAGTTAGGTGATATGCTTGAAACTTGTAAAAAAATAAATGTAATTGATTTGGTGAATGAATAATAAAGAATTATTCATGAGTATCGTACTGCCTTATTCAATTATTCATTCTTATGTTTCTTTTTGCATGTTTACATTTCCTGATAGCGAGTTAAGAATGTCATGAATTGATTGTAGATTGTCGACCGAGGTTAAGACATTGCAATTTGAATTGCTACAATATTCATGATTACTTTGAAAACAGGCATTTTAAGTATTGGATAAATCCAAGCTTAAAGATTACTTCATGGGTCTTGTCACGGGTAATGCTAAGACGACAACATCCACTATTCTTAAAGCAGAGATATGTAGTTCGTAGTTTACAGATCAGTTATGCATTAGTCGACTCAAACACATTTTGTAACCGAATGTTATAAAGGTTTATTCCATATGTGATTTGATATGTGAATTGTATGACTACATATTCAAAGAAATTCATTCCTTCTACCCTAACAGGAAAAGCGATATCATTGGGCCCCTCGATGATTTGATGTTGACTATATAGTATTGGGCCTAGCTAGGACTAATTGATGTGTTCAATTAGAAGTCCAATAAAGTCTTTACAAATCGGGAAACAGAATTTTGGATAATGAGATTGATTCTGATCCATGTCTCGTGTCCATACGATATCGTGAAGAACGAAAGAATAGTTGATCACTTGTCTTAGGGCCAATAGTTGATTTGAATCGGAGTTTAGCAGTGACTTTGGAAAACACTCTTTGTTGTTTATTTCAAGGTCTATACTTTCAATTATAGTTACAGACTTATCCAAGTGGTAGACTATTAGATTAAGGTGTTTAACCTAATAACTAAATTGGTATATTCTTGAAATTGAAGCAAAGTCCCTTTTAGGTTGCCCTCAAAACTAGTATTTTGATAGAATTACTTTTAGAGGAAGAGGTTGATTTGTTAATTTATATATGATTAATAAATTAATTAGAAATTGAAATAAATGATTTATTAATATATTTTATGATTAAAATATTAATTGGAAATAGTAAAAATTAATCAGAAATTAATTGGAATTAATTTTAGGATTATTAGAATTAATTGGAAGTACATGAACTGAGTTGTAATTGTTTAATAATTGAACAAAATAGGGTTTCTAGAACCTTCTAGACAGGGCCGAATTTTGGCTTATCTTTTAGGGTTTTAGGATAATCCTATTATATAATGATCCTAGATAATTATCTTGAATTTGAAATATTATTATTTAATTCAAGGTTAAGGTTTCTAGGGTTATCCTACAACCTATAAATAGGAACCCTCGGGATCCCATTTTTGACCACCACATTCTCCCATACAAGAGCCGAAATTTTTCTCAAGCCTCCTCTCTCCTCAAGTCTTCTTGCTACTAGGGTTTTGGGTACACGCCATTAGAGGCATCCATTCCTTTGGTGCTAGCTTTCCAAGATCTAGAAGAAGGATTCTACTTTGATTATTTGCAACAATAATCAAAAGGTATGTAACCCTAATCTAATATGAATTTCGATTTCATAGCCTCTCTGCTAGGGTTTCTTGATATTCATAGTTAGCTGCTATCAATAAAGAAAACATAGATAATTTCTAGGTTGTATGTGAACTTAAGGGTTTAAGTGTTTTTTCCACAACATGTTAATTTTTATTACCTAGAAAACCCATCATAAACAACATCTTTTATCCTTTTATATAAAAATAATATATTTTATGATTAGTATATGTAAGAACAATTCGTTATGATCTTCCAACGAACGTTTTTCTTTTTCACCAAAACCTCATATATCTTCATACAAATTTAGGATGACCATATCATTGTTTTTCTTATTACATATAAGAATTCTCTCTTAAATTATGTCATGATCCAATAAGTATAATCGACGCGAAAAAGATTTCGGATGCTAGAAAAATATGAATAACATATTTGTTTGTATTTGAGGTGATTATCATAATCTAAAGAAAATTCAAGATGTTAGATGAATTCTATCTCTATACAAAAGTTATTAATAGACTTAGATAATTATGACAAATTACTGAAATGGTGATATAACAAAAATATAATACCACAATAATATATCAACAAATTGTGACAAATTAATTGAAAAAGTATCATCATTTTCTTTTGGCTAAAAGTGTACAATCATAATTTTTTCTTGAAATTTAAATAAAGTTAAAAGAAAAAAAAAGTGGAAATAATAAAAAAAATTCGCTATTATTATCCGGATATTAATAATGGAATGTTACATGAACATAAACCACACAGTTACATATACAATATGTTAAGCCGCTTGTAATCATCTTTTACTTTGTAATTCCTTCTATATCCACCTTCTTGTCTATTTTCACTTGCTCTATATAAAGAAATGAAAAAAAGAAGCAAGTGTAAACAACCTATCATGAAAATAATGTTCTTATATAAGCAAAATATTTGAATTAACTAATGAATTAATTAATATAAGTTGAAAAGTTATAGGAGTTATGTGGTAAAGATATAAAGATTAACTGGATCTGGTTCATACGATAAATATGTTTCAAGACAAATAACTTATCTTGAACCATTTGATTTAAATGCTTTTCTTAATAAATTTACTAGGCAAATGTCTGCGTCTTGCGCAGGTTTAAAACATCTTGTTAAAATATTGAAAAATATATATTTAAAATGGTTATGTTATTGAACATTAATATAATAATTTTTACACTAGTTTTATATATAACATCTCAATTATTTTGAACAATATTATTTAATGGCATCTATACGCTGCTTGCGCATAAATTAAAGGAAAATCTCCAGAAAAGTTCTAATAATTGAGACTATTTCGCAAACTGACCAGAAAAATAATGCCCTTTTATCCCGGTTCAGCTGGTAACAAATTAATTTAGGACTATTCGTAAACTGACCTAAAAATTGGGACTATTTCGCAAACTATCCCAAAATATTGAGACTTTTCTATAAAAACCTTTTATTTTTATTTTTATTAATTTATTGAAAACTCGAATAAATATATTATTTTTTAAATTTGTTATTTTTAATACTATTAAGTAAATACATATATAAATATATTTTAAAAACATATTTATCCATATAAAAACGTATTTATATATAAAAAATACGTATAAATATAATAAATACATATAAAAACATACTTATATATTTTTATACCTTAAAATTGTTTTTAAAGTTTTTTTTCATTTAAACGTATTTATACGTTGTTGAGAAAAGAACTAGATTATGATTGAACATATAAGTACAATGAACAGACCAGGGCATGCTTAAGTATGGTGGACCAGACGATTATTAAGTATGGCGGACTAGAAATGTATGGTAGGCAGATGATCATGCTCAGCATGCCTAAGTATGGTGGACAGACGACCATACTCAGACCAGACAATGCTTAAATATGGTGAGCAGACGTCCATACTTAACATGCCTAACTGACACGATCTATACAAAAGATTTAATCAGATAGAGTAACCAAAAGTATGTATCTTTGGTAAATAGAATATTGGAGATCAATCTTCAAAACACTTAAGGTTAGGAGTGTCTTCACATTAATCTTCATCACCATCTTCACATAAGCCCACACAATCTCCGTATCATCAAAAACTTATCTTTACATGTATAAAAAACATTTTAAAAGTTTTTTTTATTTATATGTTTTATACATGTAAAGATAAGTTTTTTTGATGATACGAAGATTGTGTGAGCTTATGTGAAGATGGTGATGAAGATTGATGTGAAGACAATCCCGACCTTAAGTGTTTTGAAGATTGATCTCCGATATTCTCTTTACCGAAGAAATGTACTTTTGGTTCTTTATCTGATCAAATCTTTATATAGATCATGTCAGTTAGGCATCCTAAGTATGACTGTTTGTCCACCATACTTAAGCATGACCTTGTCTAAGTATGGTCGTCAATCCACCATACATTTCTAGTTCACCATATTTAAGCATGACCTGGTCCACCATACTTAAGCATGACATGGTTTGCTTGTTGTTCCGTTATGTTCTATCATCATCCAGTTCTTTTTCTCAACAACGTATAAATGAAAAAAGAACTTTAAACACGTCTTTAATGTATAAAAATATATAAATACATTTTTCATATGTATTTATTATATTTATATGTGTTTTTACGTATAAATACGTTTTTATATGTATAAATATGTATTTAAAATATATTTATATATGCATTTATTTAATAATAGTAATAATAACAAATTTAAAAAATAATACGTTTATTTGAGTTTTCAATATAATAAAATAAAAATAAATAAATAGTTAAATAAAGGTTTTTGCAGAAAAGTCCCAATATTTTAGGTCAATTTACGAAATAGTCTCAATATTTTGGGACAGTTTATGAAATAGTCCCAAATTAATTTGTTACCGGCTAAACCAAAGAAAATGGTCAAAATGCATCATTTTACCGGTTTGTAGGACTTTTTTGTAAACAGAAAATAATTTGGGATTTTTTCGTAAACTGACCAACTATTGAGACTTTTCTAGAGATTTCTCTAAATTAAACTAAATATAATTATCGATTTAGTGTTATTTTTAACAATTGTTATGAAACGATTAATTTAAAATTTTATTTATTCGACCATTTTTAATTTCAGTCATAATGTTTATTTAAAATACAATTCATTTTTAGGTAACATATGTTGTTTATAACTTGATGTTATCATTATTTATTATTTATAATTATTGTTCATTAATTTTTAAATCACTTATTATTATTGATAAGTTGAAGAAGTCTTTTTATTATTAAAATGTTAAATATATATACTAAAATATAATATAATAAGATAGACAATTTGCAATTTACAAGAGACTTATGTGGAAAATACGACATATTCATGATTTTTGGTTGATTATTTCTTTGAAACAACACAAAACAAACAGTTATGTATAAAATATTTAATCAACTATTCTCCACAAGAGTAATTTATTTTGTTTTTACTTCCTTTAATAATAAGACTAATTTACGAAGCCAAAAAAATATTTTTTAGTTTTTATTTCTATGACATCCGATAAGTTTTTTTTAAAAAGAAAAGAATAATAAAGTATTTAACATGGGATTGTTTATTTTTATGACATCCGATAAGTTTTTTTTTTTAAAAGAAAAGAATAAAAAAGTATTTTGCATGAGATCGTGGAGAAATTGTCACCTATCAATAGATTTGTGTTTGAAAGGACTTAAACTAATATTCTCTTATATATAATATAATAAAAAATATGAATACATAGTAATAAAAATATTAGATTATACTTTTATTAGTTAGCTATAATAATATTTTTTTAAATTCAAATTCAATTAAATTGTTATCAAAATAATTTACGAATGCAATTTACTAAATTTCAAAATAAGTTCTAAATTTCAAAATAAGGAGAGAGAGAGAGAGTCAATAAATAAATAAAAATGTAACCCATATTTATGATGAAATAGTTTTCAAGAAATAGGATGATAGCCATTTATAAACTGCAACGAAAAATTGTTTTGAATAAACAATCTCAACCGCAAAGAAGGTCATGTATCCCCAATATATTTTATCATTGAAATCTTTTTTTAGACATCAAACAATTACAACCTTGTTTTTCATATTAAAATATTCTATATAACAAAAACAGAAAAAGAAAAAAAATACAAGTAATCAAGAATTGAAGATAATAGTCTTATATAAATAAAATATTGAAATTAATCATTTAATTAAGTTGAATAAGTTGAAATATTTTGAAGCTATAATAGAATATGGTTTAATAAAAAACTTAAAAAAGTTAAGAAGTTTCAAATGAATATGGTTACAATCTTTTTTATAAGAATTATATAGATAATGATAAAAGATTCAAGTGATATGTTAAAAAAATAAGACAAAATTGCAAAAATGGTCCCTGTGGTATGCAAATTTTTGGGGTTTTAGTCCAAACCCCGTGTTTTTTGGATTCATGGTCCTTTTGGAGTAGTTTCTATGTGGAATTGGTCCCCGGACTTAACTCCCGTTAACAAGGATCTGTTAACCCCCTCATGTGCCTCACACGTGAGAGTATATCCGTCATTTCATATGTAAGGGACCATTTTTGCAATTTTTTTCGTTAAAATTAGTGAGTAACAAAATTTGTATCTGGTTTCGAGTTGCTCTTCTCCTTCTTAGATTCTGCAAATTATGAGCAGCATCTGTATCTTTCACCATAATCATCTTATTCGTTCATGAAATTGTCAACATGATAATCGTTGTTTCAGAGTTCAATCATTCATACAAATCCCCGATTCTTCAATTCGATTTCGAACTTTACCCAAATCATCATCTAGGCAAAACCCTAACACTTCATCCCCAGAACGCCCTGTAGAAAAACCCGGATTTAAATCCCAAACTGAATCAGATGATGATGATGATGATGATGAGAACTTAGATGAAGTCGCACCTTCTTCACCTTCCGGTTCCATTTCATCCAAGCCATTCACGTCGTTGATTTAAAGTTTTTTGGTAATATTTCTTGACATTTGTCTAGCTTTTACCATCGATTTTAAATATCCGAATTCTAGTAGCAGTTTAAACGAGTTGATTTGGGGAGTATGAATGTATAAAGGAGAGGCACGACTGATTTTTTCTTATCGAAGTGTGTGATTTAGTTGTTTTGATTTGTTTTTGAGTGCAGAGAGAAGCTTAAGTTAGATGAACTTGGAACGGAGATCATGTCGATCACATTGCTAGCTGCATTAGCTCTTCCTGCTGATCCAATTACTTCACTGGTTGATACTGTATTTGTTGGTCATTTAGGTAAAAACTCATTCTCATAATCTCATTACAATGCATATTATCAGGTTTCTTCAATTGGCAATGTTTTCTCTGAAAAAAATTATTCAATTCTCATATAAGCATCTGATGTATCTAATTACTCCTTTTAGGCTTTGCTGAATTGGCTGTTGTTGGCGTTTCCATATCAATATTCAATCTGGTAGCAAAATTGTTCAATATTCCTCTACTCAATATCACAACCACATTTGTTGCTGAAGAACAAGCAGTATTAGTCAAGGATGATGATGACTCCACTTTTCTCAGCCATGGTAATTCCAATTTCTGTATCGATAACTACTTGTTATTTACTCTTACTTAACCTAATCAAGAACAACCTTTTTTTTGTTTAGATAACATGAGTGGAAGCAAGAAGAAGTTTCTTCCATCTGTTTCAACTTCTTTAGCCTTAGCTGCTGCTTTTGGGATTGGGGAAACCATAGCACTTTTCTTTGGATCTGGATCACTATTGAACCATTGTTGTTGTAACAGAGCTCAAGAAGAAGGGTAGAAAAAAGAGACGTTGGGGAACATTAGGGAAGAAGATAGAAACGGTGGGGATCTTTAAAAGGAATTAAGCCAAAAAAGGTTTATGCAAAAATGGTCCCTTACATATGAAATGACGGATATACCCTCACGTGTGAGGCACATGAGGGAGTTAACAGATCCTTTTTTAACGGGTGTTAAGTCCGGAGACCAATTCCACATACAAACCACTCCAAAAGGATCATGAATCCAAAAAACTCGGGGTTTTGACTAAAACCCCAAAAATTTGCATACCATAGGGACCATTTTTGCAATTTTGTCAAAAAATAATTTAAAAACAAGTTTGGGACGGACGTTACAAATGTCAAAACAATTACAAAGGACATATTTTTGTCCCAAACCAAACCTCATAGGATGAAAACCAATAAAACATACATAGCATGATCAATTCGTGCTTTACACATTTTGTATACAAACCTTATATGGTTGGCGTTTTGCCACTTTTCATGCTTCTTTTGTTTCTGTCCAATGATTTTTAGTTTGTTTCTATTATCACGGTACAAAAGTTCCATGGCAAATGTTGTACCAATAAAAACAAGAGTAAATTATACGAACGGTCCTTATAGTTTGGGGTAATTTGTGTGCTTGGTCATTAACTTATTTTTTAACTCGGAAAGTCCCTACTGTTTGTTTTTGTTACGCGCTTGGTCCCTACTGTTTGTTTTTGTTACGCGCTTGGTCCCTGTCTTAACTAAAAATATTATTACTTAAATAGAAAAAAATGGTGGGATAGGTAAAGTAATGTGAGGGGTGTGGGATTGGGGGTGTGTTTATTTAAATAAATTAAAAAATCAAGGGCAAAATAGTTTTTTTAGGTAAGACAGGGACCAAACGCGTAACAAAAACAAACAGTAGGGATCTTCCGAGTTAAAATAATAAGTTAGAGACCAAACACGTAAATTACCCTAAACCATAGGGACCATTCGTGTAATTTACTCTTAAAAACAATAAGCACCCGAGCAAGGATTGTACTGCTATTTTGCAAAAAAAATAAAAAAATAAATAATAACAATAGTAAAAAAAATAGGGATGTATTTGTATGAAAGGAAACCAAGGTACTATAACTTGCATATTTAATTTAATTGTATATCATAATATATTATATTTATTACGTAAACATAATAAAATGATATTTTACAATCAGTTATTAGATACGATGTCATATGTACTTATTTATCAAAAGAATGATATTTTAAAGGAGTAATATTAAAAAACCAATATAATTGGGGTACAATTAAATAAAGGAACGCGTGTGTGCGACTTATTTAGAATAAAAACAAAGAAACTCGTTATCTCGGTACGAAAAGCCTTGTCGGTTGGGTGGGCTCTTTGAGTATTAATTTTCTTTTCTCATTGCGTGTGTATGTTTTTAGTTGGTTTCATGAGTTTTGGATTTTGATTGATAACTCTATTATTACAAGAGTCAGTTGTATAAATTTTTAAGGGAAAATCATATTTAAAAATACTATATTTCTACTCAACTTATATTATAATTAAACTATAGTTTTAAACTCAATGCTTCATGATTCATGTCATATTCCGATAATTAGATAAACAAACCGCTTGACTAAATTTAAAAAGGATAATGACAAAAAATGGGTTCTAAAAAGCGTGCAACGACAACGTCAAGGCATGGCTATGTCGTCCCGAAAACCATCATGGTGTTGTTGTTAGGCATGCGTGTTAAAGCGGACCAAGACAAGCTATTGTGTGACTTTTTTCAAGACATTTTTTATGGCATAAAACCATTGTGTTTTTATTATTGTTGTTAGTTGTTTATATAACATTTCTAAAATTTGATATTCTTGATATAAATATATAATTATGCGATTTTTTTCTATATTTAAGTTGTTCAATATAAATGAATAATAGCAAAAACTTTTAATATCAGGCATGCGACGACTCTCTTGCCCGTTAGGGCATAGTTACGATCGGTTGAGTGTGGGACTATCTAGTCTCGTTTTCCTAATGCGTAAGGAGGTGAAGAACCCTAATCATGGTGGAATCTAATGGTTGGATACCGTTGGACATGAGAAGACAAAATGCCAAAAATTATATGAATGGTTTTTTATCGTATCAGACAATTGAATAATAAGAACATTTTTGACATAATTGGCCCCAATCAATGAAACGTGAATCGATATGATGATGTATGAGAGGGTAATTTACGTGTAATTGACGTTTCAAACACGTAAAGCTTTGGGTTTGTTCGTATAACACATGTGTTCCAGATTGGGTTAACTTATATTTATTAGGGACCAAAGATGGAGTTTTGGGAAAAACTTCGTGCCACAACGTGGTGCAAGGATGCCCACGACGTGGCATGGAATAAACAGAACGTGTGTTTTAATGAGTGTTACGACATGGTAATAGGTTGGCCACGACGTGGTAACTGTTCTGGATCAAGCCTGTATTTTTAGGGTTTCCTCCTATATTTAAGCAACATTTCCAAAGGATTAGGGCATCCTCTTCAGCCTCCAACCATCTACCTCAAAACCATAGCCTCCCTTATAGTGTTTTGGTTCATTTTGGTATTCTTGGTGCCTTGAAAAAGAAGAAGAAGAAGAGGGTGTTTTGGTGCATTAATCCAACAAGCAACTTCATCATCACCATCTTGAGCATATTATGGACCCTTGTGAGTATTTAAGTTCCAAGCTTTCTAGTTTTTGCTTCTAGATCTAGGGTTCTTGTCCCTTTTCTTCATTTTGTGAGAGTTTGAAGGAATGAATTCCATAAAGTTGGCAACCTTATGGATCTTAGAGGTCCATTTGAATTTATGTGTTCCAAATCTAGTGTTCCTTTGTGTATTTGGCCTCATGCTCAAGTTTGAGACCATTCTCTTCCTTGGTTTGGACCTATTTTGGGCGAGACATGCATTGGAAATGCATGTCCATAAAGCATAATTTTTTATGGTGAATTTTTGGGTATGAAAGTCTTCTGGAAAGTTTGGTTAGGTGACTTGGTTGATTAAGAGCTTAATGGGTTAACTCTTGTCTTAAAATGTCATTAAGGCCTTAGGGTTAGAAGTTTTGGCTTATTGGGATGACTTAAGGGATAAAGTTGAAAACTTTATCCATTAAGACATTGGGATGTACCATACTTGAGCTTTGGAGCTCTTGGAGTTGTTAGAAAACAACTTAGTATGTTAAGCTATTCAGATCAGTCCCCATGGCATGGCCTTAGGCTGCCATGACGTGGCGACCGGGTAAGGACTCGACTGTTTTGTCTTCACGTTACCACAACATGGCCCGTGAAAGTCCGCGACGTGGCAATTCGTTGAGGTGATTTTTTGGGCTGTTGACTTCGAGGGTTGACCTTGGACCGTTGACTTGCTGACCTGGGTTAGCTTTAGGTCAAAAGTTCTAGATTTAGTGTGTAGACTAAGGTTAGACCATGTATGTTTTGATAGGAGTGTTTTAACATATGTTGCGGAGCATTGATATATGGTTTGTTGATCTCGTGAGTCAGGTGAGTCTTCTCACTATACTATGTAGGATGCTAGTTGTCTTTGTGATACTTCTATAGAAGACCCTGGGGGTCGTCCGTGACATTGTATGAAAGACCATGGGGGTAGCACATGGCCTTTTCATGAAAGACTATAGGGGTAGCCTGTGGCAATTGGATGTTATACCATGGGGGTAGCCCATGGAATTTCATGGAAAGACCATGGGGGTAGCCCATGACATTTCAAGGAAAAGACCATGAGGGTAGCCCATGACATTTCAAGAAAAAGACATGGGGGTAGCCCATGGAAAATGTATGTATGGTATGTGGTATTTTGGGGAACTTACTAAGCTTTGTGCTTACGATTTGTGGTTTAAACATTTTTTAGGTACTTCTAGTTTCAGAGGAAAGGGCTTGACTTGACCACACAACATCCCCTGATGGCTTTTCCGCACTGATTATTAATGTTTACTCTAATATTTTAAAAAGATACATTTTATTCTGTTTGGTTTTGGAACAAATTATTGTATGAGTTTAATGATTTAAAAATGAATTTTTTACTACCATTTTTGGGACGTTACAAGTTGGTATCAGAGCCTTGGTTTGAGGGATTTATGCACATTTTCGGGTGTGTCTAAACTCAAACTGAGGAATTGATAATCTTTTTTGAAGGAATATATAATTTTCTAAAAAGATTTTACAAGGAAAAGGGTGCGATGCGTGCACTCAAGTAAGTGATTCCTAGAATACCATATATGTTGATGTGTTATGTGATATGGAATGTTTGCATGCTGGGATAAGGCTAATGATACCTTCAGGAATTGCATGATAAAACAACCTAGTTTGTGATGCTTTGTATCCTAGGAGGAATTGGATGTTATGCATTATTTGGAATCTATGTTGGTGGAATTATTTTCTAAGTGTATGTTTAAAAATTGTATAAAGTTAGAATCATTTATTCGATAGCTATTTGATCATGTATCGTGTATAATTCGTATGCATAAGGCAACCGACAATGTTAGTGGAAGTTCCTAACATTGTAGTAGCAAGTGAGTTTGAGATGTCTTTTGTTTTTTTTATGTGGGTTTTGAGTGTTACTGCATAAATGCTGCTTGCTTTGTGCTTTGTGGTACTCTTATTGATGTGAGTTAACTATTAAGTGAATATGTTGAGTTACATGCTGCAAAGGTTAAATAATTTTAGAATGATTGATTCGGCTCTATTGTGTAGCTCTCGTTTGAGTCTAATCGTTGTGGGGTTGGGTCTTTTAGTCGAAAGATTATTTAACTTTTATTGCATGTATCCATGAAGTAGTTATCTAACATTAGTAGAAGTTCTTCAACAACTGATGATATGGTGAGGTGGGGATCCTAGGAGAGCCTAGCTTACGCCACCAAAGTAATTCATATGACTATCTATAATGATCAAGTGTTGTCACTTACTCTTGGAGGTGACCAGACATATCATTACAGTTGCGTGATCTTGACCCACCATTTCTGGCCATCCAAGGGGAATACTATA